TGGCGTCCAGCCGCCATCTTGGTTGGGTTAATTTGCATATAGTCGCTCTGATTGACTGGTTGGAGTGGCTAGGGCATAGCAAATGTATGGTCAATTTGCATGTTTCTCTTTCATTAGATTAGATTGATTTTAGAGAGGAAGGGAGAAGGAGAGATAGAAACATCAATGATGAGAGAGAATCACTGGCTGCCTCCTGCACATCCTATACTGGGGATCGAGCCCGCCACCCAGGTATGTGCCCTGACCGGGAATCGAACCATGATCTCCTGGTTCATAGGTTAAAGCTCAATTTCTGAGCCACGCCAGCCAGGCCCCTTTTTTTTAATTCTCACTCAAGGATATGTTTATTGATTTTAGACAGGAAGGGAGGGAGACATCCATGTGAGAGAGAAACATCAACTGGCTGCCTTCCAATGCACCCAGACCAGGGATCAAACCCACAACCCAGGTATGTCATGACCTTTTGGTTTATTGGGCAACACTCCAACTGAGCCACACTGGCCAGGGCCACTGGGCCCTTCTTCAGCTCAGGCACTAGGGCAGTGATGGCGAACCTATGACACGCTGTCAGAGGTGATGCGTGAACTCATTTTTTTTGTTGATTTTTCTTTGTTAAATGGCATTTAAATATATAAAATAAATATCAAAAATATAAGTTATGCGTGAACTCATTTTTTTGGTTGATTTTTCTTTGTTAAATGGCATTTAAATATATAAAATAAATATCAAAAATATAAGTGTTTTACTATGGTTGCAAATATCAAAAAATTTCTATATGTGACACAGCACCAGAGTTAAGTTAGGGTTTTTCAAAATGCTGACACGCCGAGCTCAAAAGGTTCGCCATCACTACACTAGAGAATGGAAACAGTGCACTTGGCTGGCCAATCCCTGCCCCGAGGACGGACTGCCACCTTGGTTGTGCCAGTGCGGGTAGGAAGATGCTCAGTGTCAGATGCGTTCCTGCATGGGCTACACTGGATCTCCCTCCTTACTTCCCCAAATGGACCCACCTTGTTCATTCACATCTGGTGTCGGGGAAGGATTGGGCACAGGGTGCCTTTCCTCTGTGCCCCCTGCTGCACTCTGGCCCTGGGTCATGCCCTGCCGCCTGGAGATAGGGCCCTCTCTGATTGGGCCCTTCCCCTCGGGGACCTCGCCCCTTCAGATACTAGCCTGGGGCCTGGCCTGTCAGCTGCAGCTGCTCCTCTGCGCCCTGACTGGCAGAGGCCACAGCTGGGGAGAGGGCCGCCCTTTTTGGGTCCTTATTTCCCACATCTTCTTCCCACCACCGGCCAAACACACCAGTTTCTGGTAGATCCTACCAACCCTTGCCTGCCCTCGGCCTCCTCTCCTCCCCAGCCCTGCTCAGGGCAGCCTTCCCCGTGCCACAGACTCCAAGGCTGTGCCCGTGGCACCCATCCTGAGCTGCTTCACTCAGCAAATCCATGCTCACCATGGGGAGGCACGTGGAGCTTGGGCCAGTGGGTGGAGTGAGTGGCACCAGGACTCAGAATCCCCGCGGCTTCCTTCTGCACGAACGTGGGCTAAGTACCTGAGGCTGAAGGCGGGTTTTCTGTCGTGGACACTGGGCAAGGGACAGAGTGGAGATCTAGGGTAGGATCCTGGCTCCATCGCCAACTGTGGAGTGCCCTTCGGCAAGGCCTGCCCCTATGAGCCCAGGGTCCTCCTCCCCCTCAGAAAGTGGGGAGACCCTATTCCTCCAACAGTACCTGGCATCTGGGGCCTGACTTGGAGGACACGGGGCATTGGGCCCGGAAGCTCCCAGCCCGGGACTTAAGTCACTTTGGCCCTAGCCAACTGGGTGTGGGGAGTCTGGGGCTTCTCGTCCTCCGCCCCAGCCCAGGGCTGCGCGTGGACTCGCCCTATGGGGCAGTTGGAGCTCCCCCAGGCCCTTCGTGCTGATACGGAGTCAGGCACACCCGGAGTGCTTCGCAGGTGTAGGCGCCCAGGACTGTGAGGCGTGCCTGCAGGGAAGGGTTGTAGGGAGAGGCAGGAGGCGCCCACGTGCCCCAGGAGGTGCTGGGGGAAGGCCTCGCCACGGGCGACGTGGCCTCGGAGGACCCCGCTGCCCTCCTCACTGCCCCATCCCCGCAGGCTCCGCACGCAGCCGGCAGTGGTGGCG